GAAACAATTCAACTGAATCCCTGTGACTACAAGGGGCACACACACACACAACGGCTCTGAGCAACTACATACCCAAAAATATACCCTGGAAGTCCAAAGACTATACTTTTCTATAGTGAAGTAAAGGACAGTCCCTTTCAGGCACCCTAAAGACAATTCTTTTTGTAGCCTTTGACTCCCAGGGTATATGATTATATATGTATCTCAGCCGACTATCAATGACGTCTTCCCTCACCTATAGTGATCCCCAAACAAATGACCGTAGTGTCCTGTCTATTTTATTTCAGTGGGGATCCACTTTTCTGAAAGATATCTTCTCTTCTATCTATGACAGGGGACTTCACTGCTCTATGACAAAGGGACTTCTCTCACATGTTCAAATCTCTCTCTCTCTCTCTCTCAGCTGAGTCGTCCTCACCTCCACTACCGATCCCAGCCGAAAGCCATGCAACAGCGCCCCCGGCTCCATGGCCAGCACCGGGAGCGCCCCCGGTGGAGACACTAAGGCGGCTGGGCCGAAACGAAACGAAAAGCTCACCACTTCGTGCGTCGATTTGGCGCAAAGTGAACCCCTTGAGATTGTCCAAACTTCTCGAAAAAAAAACACAAAAGCAAGAAGAAAGGCATTAAGCATGCTTGAACATGTGGAGTGTTCATCAATAGTCCATCAACTTCTTCGAAAACGAAGGTGTGTCTTGTGGATACCTGATGAGGGTCACACAGCAAGAGTTGCTTGGCCTCCTGATGGCAAATTCTTCGAAACACCATGTTCTGGCCCATCAGGGCGTGACTGCGAAGTCTAGTGCAAGATCTGCCAGAGATGCCACATGGCAAACCGCCACAACCGGGTGGGGGTCCTGCCGTTTCTGCGTTCTTTTTGTGCGCGCGGTGGAGTTGGTTTAGACACAAATGTGCCGAGTAAGCTGGAAGTGGTGAGCTGTTTTCTGCAAATTTTTGCAGTTGAACTGTCCAAACAGAGGCAGTGAGTGCCATGGTACTTGAACCCAATTCTAGGTCATTGCAGATGGACAAAACACACGAGTGACGTTTCACTGCCTGGAATGCGGAAAACCCATATCATCTTGTCTCTATCGGCTTCTGCTCAAACGCTTCAAACTAGTCCGGCAAAGCTCTAAGACTCAAACTGATTGCAAAGCAAAGGGGTTGTTAGGAGGATGCAAATCTAAGAATTATGAGAAAACAGGGAGAGCTACTACCTGAAACAGGATGCAACAGGGTGCCACTGCAACCATCTGGACATCAAAACTGGAAGCATCCAGGTCCATTTCACCTCTGGGTGTTCCAACCAGGTGTCCTTTTTCTGGACGCCCACTACTATCCGAGATGTCCAAACAGTCCAGGAAGGTTTCACTCCTGGTGGCATGGGCGGTAACGCTGCCAGAGGCGGTGGTCCCGGCGGCAGCGGTGGCAAGCCCGGCCCAGGCGGTGGTCCGGGCGGTAGCGGGGCACTGGGAGCAGAGGGCTCGGAAGAGGCTGGCAGCACCGTTCCTGCGTTGGATGCCGTTTGCAGTGCTCAAAACATGGCTGGACCTGGAACCCCAAACAACCAGAAAGAAATTTCCATTGTAAAGGATTTCAATTGCCATATTGGAACAACCATTTGTTTCTGGTTCTTTGGGGTTCCAGGGAAGAGGCAAAACACACACAAATCGTGACAGCAATCCGTTGCATTCATTCAAAATGAGACTTTGATAGATTTCTTCGTCTAGCAGCGTTCGTCTCCGGACACCCGCACCAAGACATCAAGGACGTTCCGCACCTACCTCGTCTTTCGATCCCAGCGACCTTGAGCGCTTGCGACCTTTAAGACATGTTTTTTGTTTTTGGCGATGTGAATTATGCAGCTAGCAGCTAGCACTTCTCGTGTGTTTTTATTCTTCTTCTTTCGGGTCCATCAGGCAGCTGCGAGGGTAGCATGGGCTCATCATCTTCCTGCGTCTTGCGGAGCGCCAAAGCACTGTTCCGTCGACACGCCGAAGTTGGGGGGGAAGACGAAGGAAGACACGAAGGTTGGCAGCTCACAGCATCATGGACCTACAAAACCACCTGAAACATCCTGAAATCGCTGTTGAAGCCCCGCAACAGCTGTGTTTGCATCAGCTGTTATGTGTTTCACAGCACCGCAACACACCTGGGCAAACCAGCATCCATATGTTAGCAAGCCAATGGGCTGACTCGGGGGGCATCTTTAAGCTGCCGTTTGGGTCCTCATCATCCTCTTCATCTTCGGATTCTCCCGATTCGCCGCCGTCCTGTCGATGCGGCTGGACGGATGACCGGTTTCGTGCAAGCAAACGCAGCCCAGGCAGCCCATGAAGCCGACTAAACATCCAACACATCTGCAAAGAACACATATATATATATATTTATAGAGAGAGAGAGTATGTAATCATCATACAATATCATACAACAACGAAATTTTGGAACTTTTGAAACGACTTCTGGTTAATTCTTGATCTTGGAGCTTAGCTGTCAGCATTGTTGCACTGCTAGCAGCTGCTAGCAGCCCTCAGTTCAAGTGGATCCTCGTCGTCTTCCATCGGCCGCTGGTGTGGCAGTACCTGGAAGGAGCCGCCGGAGCCGCCGGAGCGCCCTCCAAACATCACAAGCCTCTACCAGGACACCCGGACCAGGGGTGTCTATTGATAACCCCTTAGAGGTTAAGGGGAGTCCATTAACCACCCCTTGTGGGTCCTGGTATCTCTCTCTTTCTTCTCCTTGTTCAACAGTTCTTCCATGTTTTTTCCCCTTTCAGGCACCATGTCACCGTGACCTGGCACTAAGCCCTGGGTCAACTGCGAGGCAGAGACTCCCGACCTCGTTGTGGCCGAGAAAACAAGAACCTCCGAGGCCACAGGCCCCCGGTCAATGGTCGGCATGCTTCCCAAGGCGCCAAGCGCCGGATTTGGATGAATTCCCTTTTGGGGGGGGCATGCCTGGTAGGTCTCACTGAAGAACTCCACCAGCGAAGAAGACGTAGTTTGGACCATCCCTACGAATGCCGGTGCCCTTGGAGGCTCTTCATCAATTCACCCCAAGCCCTTCAATTCACGAAGACTCCACGAGCGAGTCATTGAGTGCTTGACGGCAAAGGTGGAGGTTCTCGCTTCACTGAACCGTCTGGATGGCGGTACCTCAATGGCCAAAGACCGAAGCAAGGTGCGGATCTAAAGCAATGCTTGATGGGGCAGCCAAGCTGACACCCTCACAACTTCAATCTGTTCCAAAGTCCTGCCAGCTCCTCTGATGTTCATATTAAGTCCTAGGCCCAAAGTCCCTCCTGTCCAAAGTCCCAGCTCAGCCAGCTCCTTTGGCCCGGAAGGGCGCTCTTCAGCTCTTTCCCCCAGCTCTTTCCCCCCCACGGACTCTCTGCAGATCACCTGAACCGGTAGCATGGCACTGGTGTCCATCTTCGAGGCCCCCGAGCATTAAGACTTGTCCCTGCGGCGGCGCGCCATAGGGATTCTTCACCTGTTCTCGCGTCCCGCGAGACGAGGTCGGGGCGTCCAGCGTTTCGCACCGAGACGACTGTGGTCGACGGTGCAAATGCAAACCGATGATGACTACACTTTGGATCACGGAATTGGATGCTTTGGAAAAAGGGGGACGTTTGGATCACGAGCAGCTTGCCATCCATTGTCACTCTAGAACTTGAACTCATGACGCATGCCCTCTTGAGCTTGATGTCATCACCTGGTGCCCCATCAGAAATCCGATCTTGGACGGTCCCCCCGTTCGCGCTGAGTCCTTCACTGGGTCGTAGTAAATGGACCTTGGACGTGCGAAAACGGCACCGTTTTTGAACCTCAGGGAGGTCTCCAGAAAAGAGAAAAGGCAGTTGTTGACGTGTTGGTCTCAAAGATTTATATCCCAGACACTCCATGTTTGCCATATATGCTTACATTGACCCCCCAAACCACCCAATGTATTCAAATATGGCATACATGGAGTGCTGGGTATAGCTTTCAACATTGAATTATGCTGTAGAAACACCATCGCCACCTGGTCTCCGTCACCGGCACATCGGACACCATCGGACACTTCCGTGTTGGACGGGATCCGATCCCAGCGGGGCCCCCGGGCGCTTTGCGATGAATCTTCAGCTCGTCGAAGTCCACGAAGAACTGATCCCCTGGACGGTCCCGCGGCGAGGGTTTCCGGGCGCCGTGCTGAGAGAGACACCGATTTCACCGTGGTTCCCGAAGGTTCCCGAAAAGGTGGAAATGCATGAGTCACATTTATGGTTCTCTTAGTCTTTTCTTACAGGATTATATGTCTTGCATCTATCATCTATCTATCTATTGCTTTTTCTTCTACCTCTTCTTTTCATTCTCTCTTTACACATTTAAAGTAGAGCCAATTGTTAAATTTGAAGAAGAGTTCATTCATTATTGTTCTATTATTTGCATAATGCTTTATTCATTACCCAAATAATAATGGTTCCTTATTTGTTTATGATTATATTATTGGAATGTTTAAAGAAATGCCAGAACTTAAATTGCAATAATATGCTTTCTATTTGGTCATTGGTTTTTATCTGTAGAACTGTCTCAATAAAGACCAATGGCAATAAATTAACATACTTTTTGGTCTCTTATGAAAAACCATTAAAACCAGGCTCTTCTCGCTGTCTCGGCATCCGCATCCCATGCTTCTGGGAGGCGAGGCGACCCGTCGCTTCTTCCGACCCACGCAGCCGGGGTGGTCGGTCAGGTCAGACCTGCTTGATCTTCCATGCGCTTGCTGTTGTTCTGCTCCACCTGGAACACGGTCGCGGTTGGAACAAACGAGGCAAGCGAAGGAACAAATTCGATGATCTCGGGCCGAAGGGGCTTGTTTTTTGTGGCTTAGCAGGAGTTTCTGCATGTTTTGAACGGTTTCGGTTTCAGTCGATGTCCCAGTTGAGCCAAAAGGATGAGATCTGACGTCAAATGCGTGCTTTCCTCATGCGGCCGCAGGAAAGCACCCCAAACGCACTGATTGGACTCTGTGAAAGCTTGCAGGCCTGGTTCTTCAAGCGACCATAAAATGCAATCTCGCGCGTCATCTTGTCTTTCTTCCTGGCGGCACGCAACTGGCGTTTATAGGATGCGTTTTAGGGCTGACTTGCATGCAAATGCACGAACCCACGAAACAGACGTTTTGCGTTACTGTTGCTTGCTCTTGACATGGCAAAGGTTGAGTCTTGAACAAGATACATGATTTCCATCCCCATTTTTGGCATCGTCCTGGGCCACATGTTTTCTCCACCCTTTTTCTGCGGGTTTGATCGGACTCGGACGGATCGGACGACGCAAACGACATCTTCAGCGCACCATTTGGTCAGCTTGCCCTTCTTGTCCATCTCCTGGCGCTCAGGAGATGAACAGCACATACGAACCCCAGTCCCAACCAGAAATGGATGGAACTCCCCAGTCCCAGCCATTTCCTATGTAAACCATATTGGGTTCCAACCATTTGTTTCTGGTTGGGACTGGGGTTCCAGGTAGTACTAAATAAATCTAAATCATATATTAATAAACTTAATGAAGAACGCACAGAACGAAAATCAGTCTTGTGCATTCACTTAGCAGCATTGATTCACTGTTGAAACATCTTCTTGCAGAACGCTACTCCAACATTGAAACCACAAACACCACATACCACAAACACCACATAACTGAGACTTGCTCAGATTTCGTCACAAAAAACTTCTTTCGGAACATGCGCCGCTTTCTCCCGAACAAAAAAGATAAAAGAACCCCCGCTTTCTCCCGGCTCTCTCCGCCGCAGCTCGTCGTTTTGCTCCTGGAAGTCGTTGATCTCAGCCTCGATGAGTTCCGGCGCCTTCTGCAGCATCTTGGTCTCATAGTTCCTCGGGTCGTTCTCTTCTCTGCTCAGGAATGGTCCGATGGGGCGTCCAAGTCGCAGCTCTCTGAGATTTTTCCAACGAAGCTGATCTGCCTAAAGTCGCAGATCTCCGGGTGGAGAGAAAAAAGTCTCCCTCTCTCTCTCAAAAGAGCTGGAAGTCTGGCAGGGGCCCTTAACTTTTGGTGTGTTGACCGTTTTCTTTTCGTGTCTGGTTTTGTGTTGTGTCTTGTGTCTGGAGGTGGGGAGGGTGTTGTCACAGCTTGGTTGGCTGGTTGGCTGGGAAAAACCAAACATTGAAACCACGCAGCATTCGTTCGTCTATTCAGAATCTATCTATTCACAACAATCACATCCTATTACTGCATCTTTTTTCTTCACATCACTATTCACATCTAATATTCAGAATCTATTGCTGAATCACATCTATTCAGAATCAAACGGCCTCAGCCGGCTTTCAACGTCGACTTCTCTCTCTCTCTCGGAAAAAGGGCTTTCTTCGTCCACTCATACGACGGTTCCGGACGGTCATACGTCCACAACCGGCCAGGCGGCTTCTTGCGGTTCTTCGCGCGGTTCTCTCGAGCTCGCTGCTTGAACTGCAACGAAGGAGGGCGAAGGCGAAGGGCACTCGGAAGGGCAAACAAGGTGTTTAAGATTGTTTAAGCTAAAGGATTAGGTGGGTTGGTTGCTTTAGGGCTGTGGATTGAAGCAACTTGAAGATGTCCACCCTTTTCTGATTGTTCGGATGTGAAGTGCCCAGTAAGACTTGATCATCCCTGGCTTCCAGCAATTCCTCACGAACATAGCGTTCTGCCAAGCCCGATGCAGGATGCACATGCCTTCTTTCGCTCAGCCTCTGCTGGGTGCAAGATCTTCTTTCCACCTAAGACACATCAGTCATGTCCGCTTCTGTGCAGCACGCTGCTAGGCTGTGCAGCAGCACACACCTGATTGAATCGATGCAACTTACTAAGCAAGAGACTTACTATGCAACTTACTATGCAACTTACAGCAAACAAAACCACCGGGCAGCCATTAGGAAGTTGATTCACCAAGTTAACGACGCCGCAGAGTGTCGCATATTATCCATGTCTGTCCACTGCTGAAGCTCCAAATAGATATCCACTTTAGCGTGAATCCATCTGACATGACCACACACATCTTTGACCCACAGCAAATGCCGTGTGAATCACTGGGTTTCTGACTTGCATCATGCAAGGCACCTTTCTTTTGCCTGGCATTCTTAGTTTTCCCTTATTTTCTCCTCTTTTTCGCACCACCTTCATCTCAGTTGGGTCTTTCTTGATCTTTCTTGTCACCTGAAGCGAGACCTTTTTTGTCACCGCACACCACACGCATGGATTAACATAGTAACTCGATCATGAACATACACCCCAGCAACTTCAAAAGACACCTCAAAAGTCAGAAAAAAATCCGAAATCCACCGATGCTGACTCGGCTGCCCTTTTTCTATGCTGTTTTGTCCGGCAGAAACCTCGGTTCGACGAAGAACACCAAAACATGCTTTGGGCACTTGCCCATGGGATCTTGGAGCTCCTGGCGCATCATGCCGGAACGGTCCACACCCTTGGTGTATTCGGACAGGCGATGGTGATTGAGTCACTCCATCTGGATTCAATGCTCCCACGATTCCAATGCTAGTGTGATTGATTGCGGTGATACCTCCGGGCGAAGCCGGTTCGGTTGAGACGAAATGGATCTCTCTCTGAAAACCAACTGGAAGGTCGGTCCGAACAGTTTTCAATCCGATGCGGACGGAAAGACATTGGTGTGGTTCCTGAAGAAAAACAGGGGGCAAATCGGATCTGGGATGAAATCCATGATTCATCCAACACTTCATGCAGAGCTGATTGTGAGCTGATTCAGAGAAGAACACCAATTCCGGCAGTTGGCTCTGGCAGCTTCACATCAAAAAGGGAGGTTTTGTACGACCTCTTTGTCTCCAAAACAGCCAGATCTGGAGGACACCGGCAATCAGCACATCAGGTTCTGCACCCATCCCCTCCTCTTGTCACTATCCAAAGGAAGCGTTTCCCCGGACTTCTCCCGCCATGGGCATCGCGAGATGTTTGGCTCGTTGAAACAACGGTGGAAGGTCTTTTAGAAGCTAAGCCTGTATCTGCCACTATGCGCAAGCTTCTGAGGTTCCAATTGATGGCTCCAGGTTGAGACAGCATGAGACTAATCAGAGGGCTCCCCAGTCTGATCGTTTCCTTTCTACTAGTACTTTGATGGCAACCTGGCAACCTGGTTACATGGATTCCGGGCCGCTCGGCCACAAGGGTGCCCAAGCATGGCCATGGCGCCAAGCATGCTGGGTACATACAAGTTGATGGCTACGTCCCAAGCTCGACTTCCTTCGACTTCCTTCGACTCACTAAAGCTCGGCAAATAGAGAGAGAGAGAGAGAGTAGCTGAGACCAGCCTTCAGATGGTATCAATATATGTATCTATATAACCTCTCCACTGAAATAGTTCCCAATCTTCTGGAGAGATTGTTGGGTAGTTTGTACCTGCCCCTTTCTCTTGTAACTTTAATATTCCATTAGAACATCAGAGAAAGCATGTTGTTTTATCCTTTTCAACCAAATGGGATGCGTTTCTCTGGGAAATCGTAGGAAGTTCCAGGTGGACATCCAAAATCATTTCATGAGTAGCTAAGGTTGGGGCTACCGCCTCCTATATCTTAATCCCACGGAAGATGAAAGAAGCAGTGGCACAAATATAACTCTGTGGACACCTTGAAGAACTCATTTCCTTTTACTTCGACCTCTGGTCCGATCCCGTTTCCGTGTGATCGCCGGCTTTTGTCTCCGCCATGCGGATTGCTTGGAAGACAAGCCTTGCAAACCAAGCGATCAGCAACCAGGGTGCAACCGCTGTGCCGCTGTGCTTTCTACGACATGTACGGATGTCACCATTGAAGCTCACCATTGAAGCTAAGCTGAAGGTGGCTCGCATGGCCGAAGCCGGGTGTTTACGACGACTCTGATGATCTCTGGTGCAACAACTCAAGGACTTGGGTCTGGGTAAGTCTGGGCGACGCGAAGTCACGGAGCTCGCCTACGCCATGCATCCTTTTGAAGCTTTGGGCACAATGGGGGCCTTGGGTCAATCATCGGCCAGCATGCGAACAGTTCGGTTCAACTCCTTTTTCACACATGCTGTGTATATATATATATATTATTGTATAATGTGTATATCGAAGTCAATGATCCGCTACCTTGAATCTAGAATAATCTATATAGATTGATAACATACATATATATATATATAATATAAACATGTGTCGCACGCACATCTTGTCATCCAGCTGCCAAACGTGTCTTCTTTCTGTTGTGCTGGGGCAGCGGCAAACAAATTGACATTCTCAAGAGTATAGGTCTGTGTTTCCACCTGTGCAAACTGGCGGACGGTCTGAGGTTGCAGCAAACAGGCTCTGAATTCATCGAAGTCCATCAATAGAGTTGGCTCTGAATTCCAGCCTGTTGATTCCCAGAGAATCCTCGCGTTTTCTGTCGCGCGGTTTTCGCTTGAACGGCTTGATTCCGGTGTTGGCCAAGGTCTCATGTGGTGGATAAACAAATCAACATCCATGCTGAATGCATCTACGGCTTAGAGCTTCACACTCCGAGCAAGTCTCTTTCCAGCTGATTTCTCCCATTCACCGGCCAGCTGGCTGGCTCGCCAGGTCTGCGCCCGTCTTCTTCCAACGACAAGAGCTCTTCAGCTGAGAAGTCTGCCTGCTGCACACCAGGGATAGCTGCCAACTGCTCGAGGAATTTCTCCTGAATTTGATCCAGCAGATTCATGACATTCGCGGCATCTTCGCCACAGGAGAGAACACCATAGAGAGAGAGAGAGCATTTCTGAGCAAACCCTTCTCTCCATTTCTCTCCATTTCTCTCCCCCCATCCTGACGCACAGTCTCTACATGTCTCTACCTTCTGTACGGAAAAAAAACCAATGAGGGGCTCCACCGACCGCTTCCCAACGGCGTCTTTCCGCCCCGGTCTACCGAGCCTCCCCGTCCGCTTCGGTCTACCCGGGGTCCTCTGGATCAAACTTCCTGGATCCCCACCTGGGTTGAGGAAGCCAGTTTTGTTTCCACACATGGAGAGCCTATGGGTTTTTTAAACACATGCGCGTGTATATCTAGATATATCTAGTATACTGTCTCCTAGTATTATTCTCCATGTCATGAGACTTATATTCAGGCATCCATCCACTGATTTCTTCTTCCATCTGATAAGAGACATGGAGAAGATCTCCATTCGTTCCTGGCACCGGCTTTTCTTCCGTTCGTTCGTTCGCAGATTCTGAGGGCTTTCTCTCCGACGAACCCAAAGCAACAACTGAGGCCGACGATCCACCGAGGCCGACGATCCACGGACTGGACGACAAACAGGGGAAGAGAAGTGAACCGAGTTGACCACGCTCTCCGGAAGTCCGGGAGTCGGGGAGTCCCCCCGAGTGCGGCGCGGCGCTTGTAAAACTGTTTTGGCTGGCTGGGGGAAGCGATGGGAGAAGTCCCAAGAGCTTTCGATCCATTTTCGGTGCAGAACTTTATCAGATTGGGAAGTCCAATCGAAATAGAGTAATGCTGCATGCTCCGGTGAAGGGAGGCGCTGCAAGGAGCTCCGTGTGCTTTTGTGCTTCAAACAAGTGTTGAACCGAATGTGGACATCACATGACATCATAAAATGAAGAAACTGGTCCAGTATGGTCCAGGTGTGATCCAGCTAGGGATGTTTGCAATCCTTTTGCCGAACTTGGTACCACTGCTGAGCTTTTGAGATGAAGTGGATCTAGCCATCGATCATCGACCAGAACCAAACACTCTCATCATTTCCGCAAGGCACTCGTCGAACTTGTCCATCGGCAGCTTGATGATGACCTCGACAGGGATTTATGGTGTCAGGGCATTGTTGTTGTCAAAGGAGACCCACCTTTGGTAGTGGAACCTCATAAACAAACGAATTGAACCTCACTGCACACTAAAAATATCCCTGTGCGAATTCGACCTTTCACATGGACATCTTTATCCGGATCCCACTCTGTGCCAACCTGCTCTCTAAAGAATCAGCATCCATCACAAACAAGCACTAAAGAATTAGACCTGCTCAACCTCCAAAAAATAACACCATCATCAACCAAAAGAATCTGACACTCCGTGTTCGAGTCGAACTGTCATGAACTGTCGAACTGTCAAACTGTCACTAAAGAATCAAACACTAATACCCTGAGATTCCAAAGTGCAACCCCCCAGGTTCCAGTTGAAGCAATCAAGGGTGGTTGTACCACTGGTTCGCGTTCTCTATGACACCCCGGGTTGGTCCATTGTTTAGGCTAAATTCGAAGGAGGATCTAAAAATGCCTTCTTACACCAACAAAAGCCTCACAAAATAGTTAACTAAAAGGTGCCCCCTAGATACCATCGCGGCGTGCAGTTTAGATGAAGAAGGGTCTTCAGCCAAGTGATTTGAGACATGTGCATATTTATATACCGCATACCTGTCCAGGTATAGGTGCCCACCACCTACGTCAGCACGCCCCGATCTTCTCTCCCCGCCTTGAAGTCACAACATGCCTGCATGACATGAGGCGAGACTGGGCGAGACGGCTTGGACATTGGAGGGGTGAAGCCCCATACCACGCCCCCTGGGCACAGAAACCTGGTAGCCCAACCCGCCCAAACACTGTGTTTAGGCAGAAAACGAGTCGTTTTTATGTCCTGCAATTGCTTTTTTTCCCCCATTTGATGCGTCATTCTTTGGGGTGAGTTCCATCAGTTTGCAAAGGCGTTCCTTCAACACTGCATTCGACAAAGCCACATTGCTTGAAGCATTCCCAGTGCCTTATCAAGTAGTACAGAAATACCTTTCTTGACAATAGACGGCACATTCCCGCAACATATTGGCTTGTGGTGATGCCAACCATCAGAATTGTGAATCTGTCCAATTACGAATCTATCAGTCCACTCCTTGCAAACAACCCGAGTCTCACTGTTTGGATTTCTATATCACCATGTCTGTTTGGTCTAGACAAGGTCGAAGGTCGTACCTTCTTCCTTGGGCCGACCTCCATCCACCTCCATCTGTCCGGTCGCTCACCAAACAGCTCTGCAGGCTCGCCTGCCCCACCACACGCTGAATGGTTTGTCGGCCGGCATCAATTTTGCCATTCATGACCTGGTCACGGCCATGCGGTCCAGCCGCATCGCGGGGTGCCCGCGGGCGCCATGCGGATGGGATTGAAAGAAGAAAAACAGATCGCCACGGGACGTCCGTTTCCTCACCTCATTCACCTACCTACACGTCTGATTCACCTTCCAGACATGACTTCACCTCATCCGATCCCCAAGGCGACCCCGGCGCGGTCTTCACCTCATCCGTCCGCTTTCCGTCCGAACGGACCTCTCGCGTCTTCAACTGCTTCCCCGCCCAGTGGTGGATCACCTGGGGGGCGTGGTTTTTCCGCTCCGCGGGGGAAGGAGCCATCGATCATCGGTGAAAGGAGCTGCATCGACCGGAATTACACTTTCCCACGAACACATCACATGGAAGCGGAAAACCGCCTGTTTGTAGAGGAGAATAGTCATTCAACCGGCCATTTTCCACTTCCATGTTAGTGAGTCAGAAGTCAGAGTGTAGAAACCCTGCAAAGTCGCAGGCGAACCGCCTTTGGCTCGAAAGAAAGAAACTCGGTGAAAGGCTGTGACTGGGGAGCATCATGGAGCTTGAGATGTTCGGAGGCATCATGGAGCCATGTGAGCCATGGATGTGTTCAGTCATTGAAACGCACATCGAAATCTTCAGGAAGCTTGGGTGTATTCGGCATTGCCTCTAAGGGTGTATCGGTGTATCGTCTATGCCTCTAAACCCCCCAAATGGATGAACATGGCTCTGTGATCAAGACATTCTTCTCGTCGTTACAAATTGAAATGCGGATGAACAACCACCGAGGCTTGTTGTTCCAAACAAGCCTCAGTGGCTTGGCCGGTTCCATGCCGTTCCTACCGTTACTCGTTGTGCCGTTCCATCTCCCCGTCTCCCCGTCTTCAGACCGGCCGATCCGGGACGAAGCCGCCGTGAACGCCGCGGTCGGTGGCGCACGTCCAAAATCTCATCTTGCATGTCCTGCGATCGCCGCACAAAACGGCAAAACGGCCAAACGACACGATGCGACACCGATGCCATGGATCCGTGATGTTTTTTTCGCCAGTCTGGCCACTTAGTACAGGCTAGCATCGGTTCATGCCGCATGGGAACGTTCCAGTGGGTGGAGTGGTAAAGAAACATCGCAGCAGCCTTGTCGTGCGTTGATCCGCGCTGAAAACAGCAATCAAAAGAGGTCGTCCTGCAAGAGCTTCTGACATGCCTTTAAGGAGGCACAGTCATCATCATATGACCTCAACCATCATGGACGTTTTCAAATCTCCAGCAATTGGCCAAGTCTCCAACATGATCCGAAAAAAGGGTCGCTCTCTAACTCTATCAAAGAACTGACGCCCTCTTGTAGCTGTAGCTGGCCGAGCTCGCTTTTGTGGGACACATCATTGGCTAATATTGGATAGAACCCCCCTATGGGAGAACCACAAAACACCTTGTCATCGCACATTTCCACACACCTTTTGTTGCGCATGACGCTTCAGTTCAGCGTCTCCTGTTGTGTCTCTTCGTCTCTCTGCGGCCACGGCCATTTGCACCGCCATTCGCGGGCGAGCGTCCCGTAGGAGACACCTTCGCGCTTCGGAGTCTTCGGGTCATGGTTCGGATCCGGTACACTAAGGGCCCCAACAAATGACCCCAGCTGGTGTCGGAACATGGTTTGACATGTGGTACTGGTACTTCTTTTCATGTTGGACTGGGGGCCTGGGTCCTCAAGTTTTCAGCCACCATATGATGGTTGACTCTAATTCACCCAAGTGCCATTTCTGGGACGCAGGTTTGTTCAAACACTGCAACGAACACCAGAAAGCAGTTTTTGCTCTCGTGCGGTTTGCATGCCTGGCGCGATCTCAGGCATGGCTCTCCTCCCCGGTCCCGGGTCTTGGCTAAGAAAGGCGGCAGCATTGGATGTGCGTTTTGCTCGGAGCAGAACCTGCCACCCCCAGCAAGGGTGTTAAGGCATGGACATGAGTGCAGAACGCTATGGAAATACCCAAATGGACCAATGAGCATCCATGTATCGTCTTGTTCTTTTTAAACCCACCGTGGAACTCAAATTGAACTCCTTCAAGTCGCACCGAGCTCCTGCGGAGGGGAGGACCCATGTTTCTCTTGCAAATCTTCGGATCAATGTTCTCGGAAACCAAGAACTTTGGGCAAATGGCACTGAAGTGTGGGCATCAAATGCACATCTTCTGTCTGTTTTGGCAAACTTGGAAAAATGGAAACATGTTGAAGCAAAGACACAGCCAAGTTTGTTACCTGCGACTTTCACACTTCTCCTAACCATTTGCCTTTCTTCGGCTTCAGCATAAAATTGCAGAAACATCAACGAGTTTTTCTCTTGAAACTGGCTGCACAAGCGTTAAGTCACTCTATAGCTTGTCCATATTTGTAATATCATGATGCTTTTTCCCGTGCTGACCAGAACTTTGCCCGACAAGAGGGCCAGGCATTCATGATCATGTCATACGATGTGAGCATGTCATATGTCAGCAAAAACTGCATGTTCATCACTCTCCATGTTTCACATGCCAAAAGAAAAGAACACCACCACCCAACAACGCTCAAAATCACCGATTCTTTTCTTCCCCTAAACTTAAACTTATGGGGTACTCTCAGGTACTCCTCAACCGGTTGAAAAAGCCCACCGCGGTAGAGACTCAACTCTCAGGTCGCTTCTGCAGCAGGCTGGAGACGCGTTCCCGACAAATGGGGCACCTCACCGTTCGAAACCGGAAGTCGGGTCTCTGAGAGGCGGAGGGGGGGGGTGGTCTCCGGAAGGGGAAGGGTTTCCCAGGCCCCACCTACTATATTGTTTGGCATATGATTGATGGAATTATGTATACTATAAATCAACATAATGCATATTTCTATCTATACAGTAATATGTTAGATGTATCTATTGACATGCAGCAGCTTTAAAAGACATCCTGACAATGCCTCCGTTTTGTATCGGCCTGTAGGAATGGTATTGGATCTGTGTCCGCATGGTCTCGGCGCAGCCACTGCAAAGGCACATGTGCCTGCAACGAAGAGACGAAACTGTCAGACGTAGGAAGCGCTCTGGGAAAACAGTGACGGCAGTGACGGGAAGCAACTTCTGGTATCTGCAAAGCCGGGTCACCTTGGCATGTGACTTCTCTCTTTTCATCTCTTTTCTAGGGTTCTAGAATTCTAGATGGTTCTAGGTTCCTAAAGTTAGTTAACACTAGTCAACTCATGTCAACTTGTACCCTCAATCCTTTTGCTTTTCGATAGAAAAGACCAACACCCAACCAACACCACATCCGTTCGTCGAATTTTTCACGCTCGGCGACGACGGTCTTCGCAGCTCTTTGTTCAGTCTTCGACGCGTCGGTCTTCGACGCGGTCGACGGTGCCGTCGGTGGAGGGCCCTGGGTGAAGCTGATCTTTGAGCTGCACCCAAGTCATGAAGAATTCATGTCTGAGTTGGAAATTGGTCTTCCAACAGGTTCACACACACATATATATATATATTATATATATATAAATATTATAATTGTATTATTGCTATTTAGAATACAAATTCTATTAGTGAAATGATGAGATCAAGAATCTGAAGAAGAACTGAACCACTCAGTCTCCGTCTCACAGAGTCGCTGAGTCTCAGACCCACACAGGATCCGGGACCCTTGCAGCGTTACACACACGGACCGACCCGGCTGCCATGCTACTCCTTTGGGGCGGTGCGCTTGGCCATGAGGCGTTCCAAGTCTTGTGCTGCAATCGCCTGAGACGCCTCTGCATCCTCGCACGTGGAACACCACATGCGGAGAACCACGCGGAACACCACATGAATCGTACATTCAAGTGACCGATGGTTTTGATGGCTCAACATCTTTGCTTCTACCATCTTCTACCAGTGATTCTACCATCGATGCCAATCCCTATGCCAATCCAACAAATCACCTGAAACACAAGACTCTCTGCGGAAAAACATCGAATCACAGCAGCACTCAACAGTGCCGGAGTAGACAACGCACCGCGGAAGGCTCCCGGGGCTCCTGCTTCAAGCGCCAAGTCCTCAGAGTGTGGGCGTCTTCTTGCGCCAAGTGGTGTTTTTCCGCACATCGAAATCGTCAAATGTCCGGACAACGACCTCATCCGGACACAGCTCGGCTCGAGCTGCACAGCTCGAAGTTCGGACCTGCGACCCGACCGGGCAAGCCCGAAGGGGCCCCCGTGTGAACACCAATGTCCGACTGGTGCGCCAGATCTTGGTCTGAAGACGCGAAGCGTCTAGCTTAGAAGCATGAAGTATCTAAGCCTCTCCCCCAAGTTGGTCTCTAAGCCTCTCCGTCTGAACGAACGCAGAGACCATGGCATCGGTGCCAGCCACAGCTGTCCTGGGGCCGCGTCTATCCGCGCACCCAGCACCACGACCAGTCACACCACGACCAGTCACACGCCCGGAAAAGTATCTTTACTTACTGGATCGAACATTAGTAACCTTATTATTGGTAACATTACTGGTACAGTTCGGGCCACCAATCAGCCACTTAAAAATTCCCAAATCATCCCACCTTTACCAGCTTTCGTAAGAATTTCAGTCATGTCATCATCGCTGTCTACAAAGCAAAGAACAACAACACCTCCCATGACACCACATCCAACACTGGATGCGGTGTCACTACTTTCCCCAGCCTCAAAGTACCGACGTACGGCGTCCGTACCGTCCCCGCCACGCTGGCGTGGGGGCGCCACGCCGACGCCGGGTGTGGTGCCGAGCTTCAGAGACTTTCGTGTGAAGAAGTCAGCAACGATGGACATCAATGCTCGCGGCGTCAGCAAATCGTCGCGGATATAGTCCAGCCTGGAGGGGTGGTGTCCGGGGGTCTAACGGGCTGTCTAGTGGAGCGGGTCTAGACCCTGTTCGCCAAACAAAAACTCACCGAAAATGCCCACCTGTTTGATTGGGAAGAGGCGTGTGGTGCTTGTTTGACCCTATTTTTGGCTGCACCAAAGTGGTTGGTCCTCTTTGAAGTGGTTGGTTGAAATTCACTCCTCTCTTGACCTCGACGCCCCAAGTTGTCAGGGCCTATAAACTCCCAAGGAGTCCTCACGATCTTCCCCTCTTTCCTTCAGATCCCCCAGAAGCTCAGAGGGCCAACACGGCCAAGCAGCAAGGACTGCTGCAGATTCTTCTGAAAGACCCAGATGAGCATCGCCCCCAGAAGCGCCAAGCCAAAAAGAGCTCGGAGGCCATACTCCACCCAAATGAGTCGGTAGAAATGCCAGCGTCCTTCATCACCTTGAGACAACAGAAATCAAGATCACCGTGAGATATCAATTCTGCAGCATCATATCACTCCACTGTGAGACGTGGTAACACCATCTTGAAACTCTTGGCTCAGATCCCAATCCTGGTGATATGATAGAACAGAACTTCCAAAACCACATCGCAACAAATTCCAAGACATAGAAGCGATGTCCCAATACCTTCTTCGGGGACATCGCTAGAACCGGCTTCACCCGCAGAAAGTGCCGTTCTTCGAGCTCCAGGTCGCCGCTCTTGGTGGAGGTGATGCGATAGCCGGTGTGCATCCCAACCGACAAATAGAAAGTGGCAGCCACGACAGCAATGGCCACAAAGGCATCCCCCAGAAGCTGTTGAAAGACTGCCTGATCGGCTGATCGGCATCGAAAGGTGACAATCTGATCGATTGATTCATCAATCATATCAAGACATATAAAAATGCAAAGACTGCAAAAAGAAACATATAGTGATAGTGGCTTTATAGTGGCTTTTTGATGCCTTTTTCTTGTCTTTGTTTTCTCCCGTGAAGGAGTGGTTCGTGTGCGGTTGTGGTTCAAAACAAACTGTCAAAAACATGCGCATATGGTGAAGAAAAAACACATCCTCCGTTTGGCACGGTTTCTTCATTCTTTTACAAACCCACAGAAGTTTGACCTACAGGGCACAGCCATGCGCAAACGGGCACAGCCCACTTGTTTGGAGCATTTGGGTGTGTAGCTCACATAGGGAGACCATAGAGCAGTCTACCCATTGGGCTAAGGGGGTCTCCTTACCAAACAAATACACCTTCTGCCGGACTTCAGCATTGACCGAGATATTCACGCGAAGCATCTTCACGTCGAAGCGAAGCGTCGAAGCCAACACCACCGGGCAAGTCGAATGCTGTCGGGAACTGGGCCCACCCGATGGATCTGGGACCCTCCAAAACCGTTTTGAGGGTCCCCAACGCCCTGAACAGCAGGCTTCGACCCCTTCGACATGCTTCCGGACGACCGGATCCTGGACGCCTTCAGATCAGACGACCGAGGTCCAAGGCACAAAGATCACCATGTAGATCGGAACGACCTGGAAGGTCGTGAGGATCAGGAGCCATCCTCCGATTTGATTTCCAGGAAACATGGCCTTCAGGTTCCTTAGGAGTTTCTCACTCAACTTTCTTTCAGTTTTATCATGTTTTATCGGGTTCAAACGTCCGACAATTTCGTGCATCTCTTCACAGAAAGAAGACAGCCAAGTGTCAAGAGCGCTTCCGTTAAGCCACTCGCCAAGCCCAGAGCGGATGCGATCAGGTTTTGGCCAACCATCATGGCCACTAAAACGCCCACAGCGTATTCAGATTGGACACCTTGACACAACGCGAAGATGGTTAAGAAGTTAAGAAGGGCAAGAACCAGAGTATGCAGTGCATGTATGCATAAACCCAAATGCCTGTCAGCAAACATGGAACGATCATACGCGCAGCTGCAGTCTTTCAGCTGCAATCACGTTCAAGGCTGAAGAAACACCAACAACCTGGTTTGGTCCTCACAGATCATTACAGATCTGACAGGGTCAAAGGACACGACACGAGGCTCCCACTGGCCCAAGTGATGGTCTCTGCAAAGCTGGTGATCGTCACGCGTTGCATGAGCAGCATGGAATTGATGATGTCGGCCTGTCCATGTTGATGATCTTTCAAGGCGCATTTTGTTTCATTAATTTTCATCCTCGACTCTTTATCTCATGAGATCCATTTCTGACTGGTGCGACTCGTAGGGAATAAGGGAAGGTTCGCCCCCAATAGAGATTCTATGTGGATCCATTCATATCCATTCATATCCAGCCACCCTCAGCCACCCTGCTTTCACCCTGCTTTCGAATAAGACCGTGCCATGGGACCAGCGAAAAAAGCATCCACCGGTGTTACCACGGTGTTACCACGGCGGAGGGAACCGAGGGAAGTCAACCCCAAAAACACTCCGATCGAAAAACGACCAAACCACCGAACCGCCCCACCACCGCTTCCCATGCGAACCGTTCCGAGAGCTCGCCTCCTTCGTTTCGTCTCCCGAGAGCGCCTCCGACATCGTGGAGTAGTCCGTCGCCATCGCGGAACTCTGAGCCTGTAGACCTCGAGTGCCAAAGGAACGTGGCCACGGCGGAGCGAGTGTGGCGGCGGCGAGTGTGGCCTTTCGGCAGAGCCTTTTTAGTCCGACAAGGGGAAAGATGGAGGGCTGCAACAAGAGGAAGACACATAAAAACACCTCCTTCTTCGTGAGTGAGTCGGAGGGTAGGAAGAAGAACCCCCCAAATTCACATCACCTTGAGCTGGAAGAGGCGGTTGTTTCATTTTCTGATGCTCCAAAGCCTCTGGCTGGAGCCAACTGTTTGTCGACTGCAGAGTCTGGGAGACTGCAACAAGGTCGAGATCGTGTGCTCTCCCTTCGGAAGTGGTCAGCATGTTGCATCCAAGAAAACCCCCCCCAAAGCAGCAAACGCCGCAGCGAACCTTATGGATTTTTCTTTCGATTCTATGACAATCATTATTGCCCTAAGAATCCGAGCTCGGGCCCTCCATGGCAGGGGTGCAGACCCTCCGACTGCAGGAACCGGTCAGCCTCCGGGCTCGGATTCTATCGCCGCTGACCGGTCGCCGAGCGAACAGGCACGGCCAGCCGAGCGGCGGGCAGCGCTGTAGGATTGACTGGCTGCTTTGGCGTCGCAGTTCTCAAAGGCCTACAGTTCTACAGCCGAAGTTCGGACGTGAAGGAGTGTAGAAAGAAGGCTGCGGGGATGCAGTCTAGAAGGTCCCTATAAATTCCTTTTTTTTGCACCAAATGGTTGTTGGAGTTCATTTAACATCATTTAACTCGTTTTTGCCCCGGAGGAGCTTGAAACTCTCCTTTAGGTCCATGCACTTTCGGCCTGTAAGATCATTTGCTTCCGCTGTGCAGGAGCATTTTGGATGGCCATTCGCAAGCAGCCAGTCAAGCACTGGGTCATCTGGGCATCTGCTACCTGCCACAGGGCACCAGCCAAAGAGACCTCAAAAAGGAAAAAGGACACCTCTGTCAGGGTTTATCTTTCTTACATCGCAAATAGCAGTCTCTCTAATGAGACTCTCAATCCAATGGCTTCAAAACCCTTTGTGACACTTTGTGACCCTCTTCCAAAGACACGCCCCGGCCTGGTCGCAGAAATCACTCCGGCAACGGTCCTCGACCAGCCAAACGCATGGCACTGAGCGATTGTAGAAGCTTTCCTGAAAAGGCAGGCTATTTTGAACATAGTTCAAAAGGCACACATGCTTCGAAATAGAACCGCGATGAAGAAGAGTGTGTACAAGTATGTGCGGTATGCGTGTGTTCCTTCTAAAATAGCTTTGTGTGAACCCAACGAAGGATACGACAGACCCAACAGTTGATTCTGAAGCCAAGCAACGTAACAACTCTGAAGCAAAAGGCCAAGAAGTTGTGTGCAATGCACTGGACACATGCTCAATGGGTCGAAATGCGTTCAATTGCCTTTTTGGGTTCAAGAACAGACTCGCACTATGCTGTTCTGCCACACCATGGCGTTTTGCACCCTGGCGTTATGTGAGCCAAGTGCTAAAGCCAAATCTTCAAGTACAACTACTTACATTACATTACATTACATTACATTACATTACATTACATTACATT